TGTCAAAAGCAGCGGACAGATCCAGCAAGATAAGTATAGAAGATTTGGAAGCCGCTCTTGCCAGTCTTAGGGCTTCAACAACTGAAAGCAAGGCAGTCTCGGTCGAATGTCCACTTCTGAAGCCAGATTGGTTGTAGTCCATGGTGAGACTTGGTTGAACACAACTCGTTCAAGTGTTTTTTTAATGAAAGGTAGAAGGGAAACCGGTCTTTAGTTCTCTAAAAGAGTTGGGTTAAGAGTGGGTTTCTTAAGAAGTGGGGTTATACGAGCCTGTTTAAATGTTGAGGGAAAAACACCAGTGTGAAGGGATGTGTTAACGATGTGAGTGAGTGCAGGTACAACGGCAGGAGAAATGGCTTGAAGGAGATGAGATGGAATAGGATCAAGCGTACAAGTAGTAGGATGATTGGAAAGGATGAATTTAGAGACTTCTGCCTCCGAGAGTGGAGAGAAGGATGAAAACGAGTGTATGTTTGCTGGTAAGATGTGTTTGACAGCTTGTGGTGTGGCAAATTATTATTATTATAAATTATTATTTATATATAATATTCTTTTTCACTAATTTAAATAAAGCTGAAGTCAGCAGTAACAGCACTGGTCAGGATTTGGTTTTATGTGGCACTGCTGTGTTATTCTTTCAGATGAAGTCCGCACAGGCACTTATCGTCAGCTGTTTCATCCTGAGCAGCTCATCTCGGGCAAAGAGGATGCTGCGAATAACTATGCCCGTGGACATTACACCATTGGCAAAGAGATCATTGACTCAGTGCTGGACCGCATACGTAAACTGGTAATGTCAATAATTAGTATTAAATTTACTTACAAAAATAGATTCAAATAACAGAAACTAAAATGTAAATTGTCCCTTCTTCCACACAGGCTGACCAATGCACAGGGCTGCAAGGTTTCCTGGTCTTCCACAGTTTCGGTGGCGGTACAGGCTCAGGTTTCACCTCCCTTCTGATGGAGCGTCTCTCTGTTGACTTCGGAAAGAAGTCCAAGCTGGAGTTTGCTATTTATCCAGCTCCCCAGGTGTCTACGGCTGTGGTGGAGCCGTACAACTCCATCCTGACCACCCACACCACCCTGGAGCACTCCGACTGTGCCTTCATGGTGGACAATGAGGCCATCTACGATATCTGCAGGAGAAACCTGGATATTGAGCGCCCATCATACACCAACCTCAACCGGCTCATCAGCCAGATCGTTTCCTCCATCACAGCCTCTCTGCGCTTTGACGGCGCCTTGAACGTCGACCTAACAGAGTTCCAGACCAACTTGGTGCCCTACCCTCGTATCCACTTCCCCCTGGCCACATACGCTCCAGTCATCTCCACTGAGAAGGCCTACCATGAGCAACTCTCTGTGGCTGAGATCACCAACTCGTGTTTTGAGCCCAACAACCAGATGGTGAAGTGCGATCCACGGCATGGAAAATACATGGCCTGCTGTTTGCTGTACAGAGGAGACGTGGTTCCAAAAGACGTCAACGTCGCCATCGCAGCCATCAAGACCAAAAGAAGCATCCAGTTTGTGGACTGGTGTCCCACTGGCTTCAAGGTGGGCATCAACTATCAGCCCCCAACTGTGGTTCCTGGAGGAGACCTGGCCAAGGTGCAAAGAGCCGTGTGCATGCTAAGCAACACCACAGCCATTGCTGAGGCCTGGGCCCGTCTGGACCACAAATTTGACCTAATGTATGCCAAGAGAGCCTTTGTGCACTGGTATGTGGGTGAAGGCATGGAAGAGGGAGAGTTCTCTGAGGCCAGAGAAGACATGGCAGCTCTGGAGAAGGATTACGAAGAAGTGGGCATCGATTCATTCGAGGAAGATGAGGAAGGGGAAGAGTACTAAAAGGGAAAAGTGTTTTTTTTTTTTTCTACCAAATAAAAGCCAAATAAAATATAGCTTTTAATTATGTTGTTGTTGTGGTTCTTTTAATAATTTGGTGACATTGTCAAGTGTACGCAATTCATTGTTTTTACTCTCCCCAATACTGAAAAGATTTTAAAATATTTTCTTGACGACAAATCACATAAAAACATTATTTATTATTATTATTATTATTATTATTATCATCATCTTTTATAATGTTTAATAAATAATTTATATACCATATTATTTTTTATATTTATTACTTTTATCTAATGTGATATCTATTATTTTGATGTATTTAATATATTTTAGAATAATATTACAATTAATCATGCTACATTCATAATTGTCATAAAAATTTGATTTTATGCAATTTACAATTATATTGTTTTTATAAATTAATAATTATCTGATTAAAAAGGGGAAATATATACTGAACTGTAAATCATGCAAAAAAAATCTATAAGAGCATTAATATGACAAACAATTAAAATTAATTTAGCTATAGGCTACAATAAATAAAAGTGATAAACAATCAAGATAAATTAGTCATTTTATAGACCTTACATATATAATGTGTACATTATATATTAAAACATCACATTTTAATTATTTAACAAATTGATGCAAATATTAACAAATAAAATGTAATGCATTTAATAACCCGAATTTTATCCCGGGGTATTTAACTTTAACTTTAACTGTAAATCACGCAATCTTTTATCTATTTCATTATAATTAATTTAGCTATAGGCCACAAATTCTTCTTCTTAAGACTCATTAAAGGCAACAAGCACTTAGCTAACCATGGATGTTTTTGGGACCAGCATTGAATGGGTTAAACCGAAAGCCTACGTCAGAAAACGTCACGGTTACGTTTTCTTTGTAGACGGAAGAAACCGGAGAAATTAGCGGAGGACAGGGAGAGCGTCTCATAAGGTGAACCGAATCTCACTTTAATCATTTAAATGGAACCATATTGGATGGCTTGATAACAGCATCATGTAATTAGATAAGAACCTAGTCTACATTTGAATGTTACGGGTCTGCCTCGATGCATACAATACCTGCGAAACAAACAAACCAGCGGTTCCTGAAGATGCCACGTTTACCGCGGATCCGAATTCATAAATCGATCGATTTGTAGGATAGAGTCATGAATTACCCTAAGGGATTCACGGTCAATTCAACGCGTTTCACTAGCGAGCATCAAATGGCATCTGTCACACAACAGCGCACGTCATACAGGTAAAATAAATAGTAGGAAGCCAGTCGTAAAGCAAACTCTGTTATACACCGTGAATAATTTATTTTAGTGGAAAATTGGACACTGAGAGTGACCGGCAGTATTACGTTGACTTGACCAGTTGGTCTAAATTATCTTGCATTTAATAATTAATAATACGTTTTATTTATAGGCTTTAGTGTCTTCTTCATGTCACAGAAAGCAAGAAAATCAGGAAAAGAGGATGTGCCACCCTGTTAAAGATGTGTGGTTCTTGTTGCCATAGTGATCTTGAAACAATTCTATTGTTACATCCCCATAGGTCATGCAGTTAAGTAATGCACTATTTATTCCAAAATATGCTGAAATTAAAACAGATTTTGTTATCAACACATTTCATTGCTTTGCAGTTAATATAGCCTTTTGATTATTTAATCATAAGCTTTTACGCTTATAATAACAATTATAATATTTTAATTAATTTAATAATTTCCCAGTTAAAAAGGATTATATATATATATATATATATATATATATATAATCACTAAAAAGCTGTCCCTTGTCTTAGTTCTTCGCGATCTCATTAAGTTTCATCTCAATGAGCTTGCAAAACTCAGCATTGGACAAAAAATCTGGTGTTTTAAAGTGATGAGGGGATTCTAACTTAAACACCTCTGATTGGCAATTGTGTTCAAGAAATCAACAGATATATCTATGATTGGCTACACTGCTCAACACCGCAAAAAATACTATGCAAAAAGAAACTTTTTGACGTTCTCCAG